TTTGTAACCGGTTATTGTCGATCGATAGTAAACCAAATTCCAATTGGGTGCGTCTTCCAAGGCTACTTGTTGGGTTTTGAATTTTGAAAGACAGTGAGAGAAAAATATCTTCTTCTTCAGTACGCTTCTCGTCTTCTCCAACTCTAAAAAATTGTTGAGGCGAGTGGCGATTTCAAAGTTTTTTCTCAGATTGATGCAGAAGCAAAGATCAAAGATGAGAGCAAAATCGTTTCCGATTAGCTCTTCGCGCAACTCTCTCGATCCCTCTCCATCCCTTCCGGTATCCCTAATTCCTCTTCCCTTCGTTTCTCGCAATCGAATCGAACAATATTAGAATTTATGCTTTGACTCCCGAAATTTGATGAAAACCTATGCTTTCATTTTGTGAATTTGGTAGTTTTGGATCTGTAACTCGCATAAGTAGAAACCCTTAAGGTTGATGTATTTGTGCATTCATTTTCCTACTCGCAGGAACGATTTGGGTCTGGAGTTAGCACTACACACGACGATGAGATTGTTCCAGATAATTTTGATGTTGGTGATGTGCTACACAAGAAGAAGCGTCATTGTACTGGGACAAGTGAGACTGATCTAATCAACGTACATGCTTGTATTGTGTGTGATGTTTCAGATGAGTGCGTATCTCGTTGTTGCGGGATTGACTGTCCTGTTTCGTTTCACAAAGAGTGTTTGGATACTGAGTTTGGTGGTAGTGAGGATCCATTTTGTCCTTACTGCTGGTTCAAGATTGTAGCAGTCAAATCCAAAGCGTTGAGAGACAAGGCCATCGAGGCAGAAAAGACGGTCTTTAAGTATGTAGATAAAGAGATGGAAAGTGAAGATGAGGTAGAGGAGAGTGTTCCGAAATGTCAAGAGGATACAGAGTTATGTGGTGATGAAGATGGAGACCAAGACCAAGAACATTCAGTGGAGAGTACAGATATTGTAAGTGATATAGAGTTGCAAGGAGAGAAGGCTACACCTTTGTCAAAAGAGAAACAAGTGCAAGTTGATAAGGATTCTGATAAATCGCCGTTAACCGATCAACCAGAAGGGGATAAAGGGAAGTTAGAAGTGGGTGCTGGTAAATCAGGAGAGATGAAAGCAGATGAGGTGAATGAAGCATCAGAAGACGAAGAGAGGGTAGCAACAGAAAGCATTGAAGACGATGAGGATGATGAAACAGCTGAACATCAAACTAAAGTCAATAATAAAGGTGCAGGGAAAAAGGGAGATGTTTCACCGGCTTTGTCTATGCAAGAATCGTTTTCTGGAAAAGAAGACGACCTGGTCCAACAGAATGAAAATCGAAGAAGAATAAGAAGAGAGTTAAAACTGAATGCTACCGATAGTAAAGAGAGGGTAGCGACAGAAAACATTCAAAACGATGAGGATGATGAAACAGCTGAAGATCAAATGAAAGTCAGTAAAGTTGCTGGGAAAAAGAGAGATGTTTCCCCGGTTTTGTCTACGCAAGAGTTGTTTAAAGGAAAAGAACACGACCAGGTCCAACGGAATGAGACTCAAAGAAGAAGAAGACGGTTAATACTGAATGCTACCGATAGTGAATTCTCATCAACTAAGGAACGGAATGGAGAAGATGTAACTGAGGAGATAACTTCATCAACCAAAGTGGCTAAGTCAAAGAAAGTAGCGAGGTTGTTCTTTCTTTATTCATTCATAGTATCTCTACTCATTTCCAGAACTAAATTGTAGAAAGTTATTTGCAGGGGAATTTCGTTTTTCAACAAGGATCAGAGGAGGAGGCTACTTTGGAAGCCCGAAGAAGAAGAAATGCTCAAGGTATGTATGATAGGAAAACACGAAGCTCTGTGTGTGTTTTTTTCTCTCATAATGTTCATGATATTTGTGTTGTTGTGTATCAGGTGGGAGTGGAGAAATTTGCAGCAGAAGCAAACAAGAACATGCCATGGAAGAAAATTCTTGAAATGGGAGAGAATGTGTTTCACGAAACACGTACTCCTGCTGATCTCAAGGACAAATGGAGGAACATGATCAGATTAGGGCAAGTCTAAAGAAAACTAATCGCATGCTGTGTAATGTAACCAGTGACTAGTGACACTCATTTTGGAGGTGAAGCCAGTTTTTGTAAAAGGAGTTACTTTTGTCACAATTTGGATCAATGTCTCAGAGGTTCCAAATTTAAGATTGTAGATTCAGTTTGATGATATCGGTTCGGTTCGGTTTTGATCTAAGAGTAATTGGGTCAAATACAACAAAAGGCCCAATAAGCAAAATTCCATGGCCCAAAAGATAAGGAAGTATCAGAGTCTTCTTCTACTTGTGAAACTAACCTAACGC